GGTTCTCCTATGTCCCGAGTCTTCACTGACCTTGAAGGGAGATGCTCTTGAACTTTAATTTTATTTTTAAAAACCATTACTTAGGTACAGGCTTGTTTATATTAATTTTGGGCAAACGCAGGGTGGCACTGTCACAGTAAAGTGATGGAGGCCTTTCTCGGGTTGAGCTGCGTGGGTTACTTGGACAGCTGCCCATGACACGGTTACCTGGGGCCAAGCTGAAGGACTCTGTGGTGCCTGAGCCCCTCTAGTCTTTATTCCCACCAGCCTCACACCCTTGCTTAGTAGTACAACCTTTGAAAATAACATCATGCCACAATTGTGGTTGCCTCGCATAATTATATTAGATATTCAGTTTATTGATATCCACAAAGTAACCTGCTGGACTTTTGTTGGCATTGCCACTGGCTATATAAAGTGGGAAAAAGTGACATCTTGATAAGACTTAGTGTCCCTGTCCTGAACTTGGACTGCTGTCCATTTATGTAGGGGTTTGTATTTTGTGCAGGGTCTCACTGTGCAGCTTGGACTCCTAGTGATCCTCCTGTTTTCAGCCTCCCCAGCACTGGGATTATAGGCGTGCACCACCACGCCTGGTCTCCATGGCTGGCTCAGCACGCCTGGGGCGGGCCAGTGTGGCATGTGGCGCCAGGGATCACACCCCAGCCCCTGCGCCTGCCTAAGCAGACGCTTAGTCTGCTGAGCTATCTTGCTTGGCCCTATGTAGTTTTTCAGAGATTTCTTTCATTAGAGTTTGTAGATTTATATCTAAGTGTTTCATTTTGGAGCTGTTAGTGTAAACAGTACAATGTTTTAATATAAAGTTCTATTTGCTTGTTGCTGGTACGTAAGAATACAATTGTGTATGTTTTCAACCTTCTATCTCTTAACTGTTCTAATCATGTGTTAATTCCTTCCCGATCTGTACACCCTTCAGTATTTTATTGCCTTACTGCATTGGTTTGAAATTCCAGCATGGTTGTTGGAAAGCACCGGTGAGCGAGAGCACCCTTGCCGAATTTCTGACTCTGTGGAGAAGGTTCATCATTTTACTGTTAAATATATAGTACACTTAGATGGATCTCAATCTCTCTCTGTCTCTGTCTCTGTCTGTCTCAGCCGCCTTCTCAGTCTCTCTCTCCCTTAGTCCTTTCCTTTTCCCTCTAGTCAACCTGGGAAGTTCCTCAAATCCTAGTTTTTTGGTTTTTTTTTTTTTTCCAAAAATTTTATTGATAAACAGATAGCAATGAGACAGTTTCAAATCAAATCAGAAGTACAGTTTCAACAAATAACACACTGCATATATTCTTCTTAGTGGTTAATTGCTGTACAAGATGCGGACTTGTGATCCTATTTACAAACACCATTAGAAAAATCATTCTATTCATTAAGAGAATGCAACTCTCAAGTCCTAGTTTTGATCACAAATGAGTATTTAATTATACTGGAAAGACAAGATTCAATAAGAGACTGTCTAATACTGTGAAATGGGATGAGTAGCAATCCATGATACTTTTTTTTTTTTTTTTTTTTTTTTTCCATGTAACAAGTATATACTGAAAAGTATAAGGCTTAAGCTAATTTATTTATTTTTATTTTTGGCGGTACCAGGGATGGAACTCAGGACCTTGCACTTGCCAGGCAGGTGCTATCTCTGGTCCTGGCTTAAGCTAATTTAGTATTTTCCTTAAACATCTTTTTTGTGCAGAAAGGATGGTGTGCACAACATACTGTAAGGATCCTTTGTACTTTGGCTGAGATCCTCTTGAGTTGGAGTCCTGGGACCACATGGATCTCCTCCAAGGTGGAGCACGGGTGTGACTCTCTAATAGATTCTCCCTGGACTGTTTCCTCCCATTTGGAGAAGTGTCCTGGTCCCAGTGAGATCTCTGGTTATTTCTCTAAACTGTCTTCTTCTGTCCTTCACTTGCGGAAGTATCGTGTTATGATCTCTGTCTTAGTTCTCTGGTGGGGACAAGCTACCAAACACCCACAAGTTTAAAGGCTGAAGGGTTTCTTTTAGCTCAGAGGTTTTAGCGGTTTCAGTCTGTTGTCACCTGGATCCCAGGCAGGCAGGGCACAGCACAGGAGACAGTCCGTGGCAGGGCCGGCAGGAAAGGGGAGCAGTGAGCCTTTCAGACTTCATCCGGCCAGGGTACACCCACGTCCAGGCCCTGTTTCCAGTATCCACATGCAGAGCTGTGATAAACTAATCAGTGGACCAGTGTAGCTATCACACTCCTAATCCATACGTACCCGTCCCGCATCAGCCGCCTCTGGCGAGCCTGGCCTCTGTGCACTTGTGGCTTCAGGGCGACTGCTAGATCCAAGCTCTGACACTCTCAGATTGCCTCCTTGGTAGTGCCTTCCTCTGGTCTGGACCCTGTAAAATCGTGGGCTTTGGTTTCTGGGTCGTGGCCTTCACTGTCTGCTCGCTACCCGTCCTTTCATGTTGCCTTGAAGGCCTCTGCTTTGAAAGCTTCGCTGTCGGTGAAGAGACCTCCGTGGCCTGTTTGATCCTCATTCCCTGCTGGAGCGCTGCCCTGTTCTGTCTGCTCCCGCGGATCCCGCCAGCGTCTACCATCGTGCTTGCCGTGTGCAGCCTGAAAGATGTCTGCCCTTTTCAGTCTTGAACGAAGCATTCTCCCTCGAGCTGATCATGGGATAGACGGAACTGCTCGTGTTTATTTTTGTTCGGGAATTCTAACTTTATGAGGATAATCTGTCTCCCTAAGTTGGCCATGGGGCAGGCCATGGTCCAGTCGCATAGAGCCAAATTATCACCGAGGTCCGCCTTTCCTTCTCCGTGTTTATTGTCTGCTTTGCCTCAACTTTTCCTGCTCTTGTTTCCCAGGCTCTCGTTGCTCACGCGTCTGCATCCCTTCTTGCATGTGTGTTCACGAGGCCACAGTGCGAGCTGCCGAGGGGCTGCGGGCTCCCAGGGCCGGTGGCTCGAGCTGGGCCCGAGTCCGTAGCACTGCGCCAAGAGGTTTGCAGTGCTGAGCAAACATGGCCCGGTTTCCAGAAGCTCATTCTGCCCGAAAACTTGGCAGAGAAAATGTAAAGCAAACACGGGCTACCTTATGAAATAGAATACAAAATTCACATGAATTTTTCAGTTAAAATGAGGCCTTCCCGAGGCCCTTCGTCTGCCTGGGCTGTGTCTTGCTCTGTCTTTGGGAAGGCCTGAGTTTGCACCCTGTGCACACCGTTGGGCTTCAGTGTATGCTGTGGCCCCGGCACCGCAGGCCTACGGCTTTCTCTTTGCTTCAGAGCTCTTTCCTGATAGTCCTCTGATTATTTTGTTTGCTTCTAAAAGTGGTCTTCAGGAAGTTTCAGCAGTTTACCTTGTTCATTCCTCTCCTTGCCCCTTCCTTTCCCACTTGCCTGGAGTTCAGCCTGTGTAACCTTTAGGGATGACAGGTGACGGTTGCTTCTACTGAGGTGTGGAATTCGCTCCATTCATTATTTGCAAATGTATTTTCTTTGGAGAAACTTGAATAGACTGTATATACATGTTCTTTCCGTCTGTCTGTCCATCTGTCAGTCCATCCATCAACCATCCATTCACCCACTCGTCCATCCGTCCATCCATCCATCCGTCCGTCCGTCCGTCCATGTGTTTGTAGAGCTGGGGACCAAGCCCAGGGCCTGCCTTGTGCCTCCTAGGCAGGCAGTACCACTGGGCTGTGCCCCGGCCCCTCACCCTGACATCCCTGTCCCATCACCCATGCACATACACAGACACACAAACGTGCGTTCTCTCTTCCTCTCCGTCTCTCCTTTGTCATTTATGTTTCATGTGTTCCCTGTGGCACCTGCTGTGTACAGGGCAAGGCGGACGTGTCCTCCAGGAGACGGTTAAAGAGAAATAAGTGTAAAAGGCAGAAAGAGAAACACAAGAAACAGATCAGTTTAAGCAGAAACAGATTAAAAGAAGCTCAGAGGAAAGATTATTTTTGGCCGCTCCAAACAGAACACGCTTCTGGCTGCTCAGAACAGAGTGAGCTTCCGTTTATCTGCAGCCTCGCTGCCCAGGTTATGAGACACGGACCCGTGTGGCCCCATGTGGTCTGCCTGGTGTGTCTGCTACACTCAGGTGACAGCATAAAGTGCAGATGGGAGTGTGACGCATTTCTGCTGGCATCAATAAAATGTACATTTAGAATAACCGTGTCTTGAGAAAGTGGAGTGGAGGGGGCTTTATACATGGGCTAATTTTTACCATATTAGCATAATGAAGAAAGAAGAAGCAGACCAGCCGTGAGTCTCCGGAGGCGTCTTCTCCACCTGCCAGGCATGCGCACTTGTGTCCTGGGACGACTTTGTATTTGACTGAAAGTCCAGTGACGTAGCAGCAGCCCCCGTTTCACATATCTTATCGTGCAAATGACGTCCTGAACTCTTTCTATTTAGGAAGACATCTGTTCTCGTTTAAAAGATCACGTGAAACAGCTGGAAAGGAATCAGGAAGCCACCAGAGTGGAGAAGACCGAGGTCATCAGCAGGCTGTCGCGGAGCCTGGAGGAGACACAGAAGCAGTGCGTCCACCTGCTGCAGTCAGGTACCAGCTCCTGCGGGCTCAGCCAGCCGGCGCCGGCAGAGCCACGTGTCCTTTCTTTAGAGATATATTGTTATAGACATAATTCATGTTTTATTGAGTAGTTTGGAAAATGCAGACAAGAGGAGAGTGCCAAATAAAAATAACCAACACCCTACTACTTGGAGAAAAGTAGTATTAAAGTTGAGGCATGTTTCTTCAAGTGAAAGGGCTGTACACATGTGTATAACTCCTGCTTCCATGTACCACACGGTTCTGAAAATATGCTAAAGCAGACATACGAAACTCTACAATACAATGTGTGTTAAAATGTACGTTCTATCCCTGAAAGCAGAGAATGATTCCAAAATGCCATTATACATTTTTAGACCCAGTATTTGATTATACGGCTTTTACTTTTATAGAACCTCTTCAATATGTTTCCCCCTTAGTGCAGTAGCTGTTTATTCATTGCATTAGTTATTCAGGGAAGAATCATATTTATGTCACATGTAAGATTTCTGATATGCTGGGTGTGGCGCTTGCCCGTAATTCCAGCCCTCTGGAGGCTCCCTGCGTTTAGGGCCAACCTGAACTACATAGCAAGAGCTATTTAAAAAAAAAAGATTTCTGATATGGTCTCCATGGTATTAGGCTTGAGGCAACATGTTCCTTTCTGTGCCAGCAGGTATTTCATTTCTTACTCATTTACTCAGTGGTACTGCGGCCAGGGACTTTGCACATTGCTAGCCCTCTAAAAACTTTTTTCATATTTTGAGATAAGGTTTTGCTAAGCTGCCCACAACGGGCTTAAACTTGTTATTCTCCTGCCTCCACTTCTCAGAGGGATTCTGGCGTGCATCACTGTGCCCATCGTATTTATTATTTCTAATAAAACGATGTTAGGATAAATGGCAGTAATCAGACACCTGTGCAGACACTGCTTCTCTCTAGACTTGTACACCGCTTGCTTGTGCTCCGGCGACGTGCTCACGCCGTAAAGCTAGGTCGGCACTTTGTAAGTGCATACGAAAGCCACGCTTGGGATGTGAACAGCAGTTTTGGCCGCCAGGGCCGCACGCGAGTGCGCTCAGCCCTGAGGGGGGAGCAGCGCAGTCGAGTGGGCGATCAAAAATAAGTGACTACTTAAAATTACAAAGGTTGTTTCTAGTGAAAGACACATTGCCACAAATCACTGTCAGAATGCTTAGCAGCCGCGGAGATAGCTCAGTGGTGTAAGCAGTGCCTGGCAAGTGCAAGGTCCCAAGTTCTGTACCTAGTACCAGGAAAAATATACATAAGTAAACAAAATAAAAAATTTGGGCTGGCCAGATAGCTCAGCGGACTAAAGTGCCTGTTTAGGCAGAGCTCAGGGGCCGAGGTTTGATCCCCGGTGTGCCCTGCTGGGCGTGCTGCGATGGCAATTGAATCTGGGCGTGGTGGTGCACACCTGTGATCCCAGCACTTGGGAGGCTTGAGAACAGGAGGATCACTGCGAGTCTGAGCTGCGTAGTGAGACCCTGCAGACCCTGCCCTAAATATAGGGAAAAAATAAACAAGGGGCTGCGGATATAGCTCAGTGGCATAAGTGCCTACCTGGCAAGCAAGCACAAGGTCCTGAGTTTGATCCCTGGTGCTGGAAATAGACAAAAAATAAATAAAATAAAATAAAAAGCTTCCCCCCTTCAAAAACACTTACTCCATGGATCTGCCACCTTTCTGAAGTGGTTCTGGACTGCTTTTGTGCATGTCTTTATGAGGCTTGATCAAAAACACAGTGGTGTTGCCAGCTGCCATGTGACGGCCATGGACACCCATAAAAACACACGGGTGTTTCCTCATCCACCTCGTCCACCAGATCCAGTGCTGTGTGGCTCCCGATTCATCCTCAGAGGCACAAGCACTGTAAGCCAGTTCAGGACATCAGGGCTGGCGCTGCTGAAGACATTTAATTCAGAGGCCTTCCAGAACCTTCAGCAGTAGCAAGAACCACGGATACATGTGCTCAAAACAAGGAGGACATTGTGTCTTTTCTGTTCTAAATTTTTACAATTTTTAATATTCACCAAAGTTTTCAATCACACCTCATGGATGTTTTGATGGGGGCCAGGTGGAGCCCTACGCCAGCTGGCACTGCACTCCAGTTATGTATTCTTGTTTCGCAGTGGCTTTTCTTGCTGAGCTTTTCCCTTGGCATTAAAGGCCTTGAAAATAAGATTATTCTTAGGGCTGGCCAGATAGTTTATTGGATTAAAGCGCCTGTTTAGGCAGACACAGGGATTGGGGTTCGATCCAGGCTTGCTGTGCTGGCCCAGCCTGTACCCCCAGGGCGTGCTGAGACAGCAGATGAGACTGGGCGTGTTGGCACACCCCTGTAATCCCAGAGCTTGGGAGGGTGAAAACAGGAGGATCACTGGGAGTCCTATCTGTGTAGTGAGACCCTGTACTAAATACATTTTTTTTTTAAAAAGATTGTTTTTAGCTGCATATATGTCACAAGCACTTCAGTGATGCTGAGATGGCCATTTTCTTTGGAGGAGGCTCAGTAAAGTCCCTTTTCAAGGAGACCCTCCCAGTACCCCGAGAGGGCTGGTTTGCTCACCTTTGGAAGCACAGCACTCGCATACTCCTCAGCCAGGCGGAGCTTGGAGTGGTGTGTGCAGAAGCGTGTAGACAGACACGGAAGCCAGCAAGATGGAATTTTCTTTTTGGAGGGAAGAAATGTGCGCCAAAGAGTATTTTTCTTTGGCTTTCTGTGAATTGGACTGTGGCACGCCCGCTGCAGACCCTCAGGGAGTGCTGAGGTCTGGAGATGTGGCTGAGGCCACCGCACCCCCTGCTGTGTGCGGGGAGCCTGGCGACCTTCTCCAGGGCCCCATCTGGCCCCTTTGCAGCCCTGAGGAGCTCCTGGTGCTGACGCAGAGCTCGCAGCCGGCCTCTGCCCTCCACAGGCTCTCATGCGTGCACTCAGCCTGTCCCGCGCCCTCTCCTCCGCAGGCTCCATCCAGGAGGTGGCGCAGCTGCGGCTCCAGCTGCAGCAGGCACAGAAGGCGCATGCGCTGAGCGAAAGCATGAACAAGGCCCTGCAGGTGCGTGCGTCCCCGGGGACTCTGGGTGACCAGGCGGCGGGGCCGCATCAGCCTTAGAATCTTAGCTTGCTCACCATGAGAGAGGTGGTTGGGCCTTCGTGCCAGCCCATGGGAGTTGTTCACCATCTCACCCACTCTGTTGGGTGTGCAAGCCCAGGCCTGCCCCTCCCCACATGTCTTTCCCAGGAGTAAGTTTATCTGCACTTGTGTAGAATGTTTACGTTAGCCGCCATTCTCTCACACCCTCCGCAGTGCTATTTGGCGCTGAAAGGGGCGGATACGCGTGTATATAGCAGTGCACCTTGCAGTAGCTGCATGTCCGCAGCGCCGTGTGCCCACCAGCAGACGAGTAGGTGAAGAAGACGGACGGACACACAGTGCCGCGCTGCTCCGCCACCAGGAAGGACAGGCTAAAGGCATCTACGAGAAAGCGCTCGTGCCCTGAGACCATAATGTTAAAGGAAATCAGACCCACAGACTTAAGTATCACGTGGTTTCTCCTCAATGAGAGACTTAAGTATAAGTAAGAAGAACATGAAAGACAGAAAATAGGAAACATGCAAATAGATATTTTGCAAATGGGAAAGACAGAGGAAGGGGAAAGAATGGGGGGAGAAGGGTGTGTTGAGTGCAGGTGCTGGCTGCCGGTGAGGACCAGCACGCGAACAGCGAGCGTGTGCTTGAAGACACGTTCTGCTGCCTGTTGTTTAAAACAGATAGAATGACTGATTTCTTCATGCGGGAAAGTAATGGGAACAATCTTCAATATTTCTCTGTTCTAGGAGGAATTAACAGAACTGAAAGATGAAATTTCTCTCTACGAATCTGCTGCAAAGCTAGGAATACTTCCAAGTGACTCGGAAGGAGAAGTAAATGTAGAACTGAGCGAATCATATGTCCATTTGGGTATTAAAAAAGCCAACTGGAAAAAATCCAAAGTTAACAGGTATCGAGGGACTGTTTTAGCTTACTGTAGAAGAACCCACGTGGTGAATGAGGCTGGCGCTAGGTGGGAGACGGTGGCACTGGCCTTGGAAGAACGAGGCAGAGGGACCATTGGACGTGGAGCAGTATGGTGCCCATAGTGTGTACTAATGTGTAGAGGTCTGAAGTGACAAGGAACCTGAGGTTCTTTGCTATTCTGTCTTCAGTACTCCAAAAGATACCACAGCTCCACAAAGGTAAAAGGTAGTTGGTGTCATTAAAATGCACAAAGAAAATTCCGGGCTTTGCATGCGCTCTCACCATTCGGGTGGGGGCATCCTGTTTTTGTGTTAACACCCTTTGTGTGTGTTCAAACTGGACAACTTGCGCTTATGGTTCGATGATGGTGTGTGGGCGAACACTGTTTTTTCCTTGGAACCTCGCACTGAGGTTAGGCTGTGAGATAGAGATAAAATACGTATACAGTGGGAGTCTGTCTCTATACCACCGCTTAACACAGAGTCCTGAGCAAGCTCATGGATTAGACTGCTGCTTCATCCTCCCGAGTGTGCAGGGAGGGAGCAGTGGTGGTAGAGAGGAACATTAGACACTTAAAGGATGAATAAATGAGCAAGTAAGCCTTCCCTTCATCCTCACAGACTTTGGGAAGCCTTGCTGCACGGAAGAGTCTGCGCCAGGCTCTGGGAGTACAGTACCCAAAAAATGGCCTCATTTGTCCAGCAGGGGACAAGGAAGACGGCTAACTATGTGCAGCCAGAAACTGTTTCTTGTGCACACTTGATGTGCGGAGTAGGACTTACCCTTTCCCTTTGTTGCTTTTGTTACTGGGATCTGGGATACCGTGGTCTCCCAGCGGTTCTCTTTAGGGTCGTCTTGTCCCGAGCAAAGACAGTGAGGTTTCACCTTTATTAAAGGTAGAAAAGGAGTAGGCTGTGCAGTGCGTGAGGCAGTACAGTGGCCATGTGCTTAATGACTGCCATCAGTTGTTTCCTCCATGCTGACGTCAGTTGTAGGCCGTCCTATCAAAAGCCTGCTTGGTCTCATGTGGAAGAATTGAAGATAGGATTTTCTGATTGGTCCCCGGGGCAGGGCTTGGCTGCCTGCGGATTTCATGATTGACAGATCTCACCACGCGCTGGCTGTCTGGCCATGTGCTAATCTGCCTCAGTTTGGAGTAGGGCCAGAGATGAGCCTCTAGGAAGAGTTCATTTAGGCAAAAGAAAGTGTTTCTTAAGTGCATTTATTCATTGCATTATGTGGTGTGAAGATCAGATCTGAGTTTACAAAACATTACTGCGTAACTGTTAAGTGACAGTGTTTAATATATATTGTGTTTCAGGTTTAAGCAACTAAACACAGACATAAGTCTCCTGAAGAATTTGCTGTACAATAGGCTTTAGAGGGTAGGTGTTTTTAATGCTGTATTTCTGTTTTTAGAGCTATACGATGAAATTCAGTAAGTTGAAATCCCGTAAGTGATAAGACAGTTTTGTGAAGGAAGACTTGACTTTGTAGCTTCCGTAGGTCCATCCATTCTCTCTTCTCTGCAGATCACAGCTACATGCGAGAATTAAGCGGAGGAAAACAGGCCGTGTTTTTAGTGGGAGCTGCCTGGAAGCTCTTTCTTAGGGCCGTGATGGTGACGTAGGTTCATTCTCACGCTGTGCGTGGTCTCGTTTCCCAGCTGGCAGGAAATAGAGCTATTTTTCCCAAACAGAGCCTCATGTACCATGTTCTAGCACATGTTAGACACTTAAAAAGATAACTATTACTTAATAGGTGGTTGGTTAAAATATGCCATTGATTGCATTTTATATTCATCTACTTTTATTTATTTTTTTTTACCCCGAATGCCCTCAGGGCAGGTTTGGCTAGCTTAAGTTGTGGGGATCGAACCACAGCAACCTGAGCTTGACTGCTTTGTTGAAGCAGCCGCCTAAAGAACTGAGCTAAGGGGCAGGCCCCCCATCTACTTTTAGTGCAATAAATACTTTGTGAAAACTTTTTGGTCCTTAAGTCTGTGGGGCAAACATTGGCTCCACATGTTAGGGGTGGAAAACTGGTGCTCACAAAGCTGAGGTCCTCTGCCTGAGAAGACAGTCAGTGTTGCAGGGAACCAGGCTTCGAACCATAACTCTGGAGGCCAAGCACCATTTTCTGTGTGTTCATATTTACACAACAGTCAAAGCTTTTTCCCTGAAAGTTTGTCTCCTTTACATATTTTAGTTTGAGGATTCAAGCTCAGAAAAATGCCAAGAAAGACATTGTGACATTCTGTTTTACTTTATTCTGTGCCATAGTTGGCCTCAGAACTGGCTAACAAAAACTTCCATGTGTATTACGATGTTCTCCCAAATATATTGTGCTACTTTTCAACTTTGTGTTTCTTAATTGTGAAGCACTTGCCCATGGGTCGTCAGCTGAGACTCAAACCCTTGTGCTAGTGAAGCTGACGGTGGGTACCGTCAGCAGGACAAGTAGAGGGTAGCCCCAGCAGGGCCTTGGTCGTGGAGGCTTGGCGAGAAGACCTGCAGGGAGGTGCAAGGTAAGGGACGGATGCTGAGCTTACCCTCCGCCCACAGGGCGGCCTGACAGTGATAACGGGGCTCTGAGGAAATGCAAACCTTTATTCTCAGATTCAGTTGGAAGGGTACAGAGAGAAGAGCTTTGTCCCCTCCCCCGCTGGCTGGCGGGTCCTGGGGTAAGAGGAAGCCATGGTTTCCCCGTGTTGTTTGAGCTCTTGTCGACTTGAACAGCTCTCACATCACTGACCTAACTGTTAGTGGCTCCAAGCTTTTAGCCCCGGCTACCACCTCTCTTAAGCTACCGCCTAGTAAACTTTAAGGGCTTAGCCTCAGTGTTGTATTTTTACATCCCTGGAATTTGAGTAGCTAAATCTGCACGCAGCTCTCAGACAGCTTCCTCTCGCCCTTATTATAGTTGGCTGCTAAGCTTAAATAATAAACATATAGCAAGTGGGATGCCTTTTCCCTTTGGTCTTCTCAGCAGGCTTCGTGCGGGACCACAGTTTATTTGGATTTGGGGGAACTAGCTTCCATGGGGCTTCATGGTGAGTCTTCCCCAGGTTGGGCACCGCACTGCCTTGCCCTTACATGGGAAGAGGCGAGAATTAATTTAGCAAGCACTTTCTCTGCTGTCTAACTTGGCTCCCTGTAGCAGTACAGGATGTGCTATTTCAGTGGTCAGCATTCCGGCAGAAAACAAATTAGGCATAATTTGTTAACTTAGCAAAATAAGTGCCCAACTTAACGTTCGTCCTGTTATGCTATTTTACATTTCATTTCTTACATATCTATATATCTATATATCTATATATATATATCTTCTATATAAAAAGGAATGGCTTAAATAGGTGAATTTTGCATATACAGATGTACTTCCCCAATGTATGTAGAAACCTTACGCATGCATCTCACAAGAAGCTCACTTTATAACATCTTTTAAAAGTCTACCTTAGGAGCTGGAGATCTAGCTCTGTGGCACAGTGCCGGCCTGGCAAGCACAGGGCCAAGAGTTCAGTTCCCGGTACCAAAAAAAAGAATCTATCTTAAAAAAAAAAAAAAAAAAAAGTCTAATTTTTTGTTCTTTTTCTTTCTACACACACACACACACACACACACACACACACACAACATTCTGATACTCTGGAATCATCTGTAAGTGAAGAAGTATAAGAATTTTAACTCAGGTACTATTTTTTTTTGTTTTAAATATTTGATTTTTGAGGACAGTTTAGATATACAGAAAAATGTGTGTCACAGAGAGAGTTCTTATGTACACTGTCCCATTTCTCCCTGCTGACATCCTGCAGAACTACGGTGTATTTGCTCCTGTTAGTGGGCAGTACTGACTCATGTCCGTACTTTGTTCGGATTGCTGTAGTTGCTACTTGATGTCCGTAGTTCATCCCGATAATCCTAGTCTTCTGTCATGTCCCTTTTTTTCTGTCTAGAATCCCATCCAGGGGACCACACTTCACTTTGAAGTCATATTTCCTTAGTTCCTGTTTGGTTTCCTTGGTTTTGAAGATTATTATTATTTATAGAAAGCCATCTATTAGAATTTGATATTTTTCTCATGATTATATTTTCTCATTGGTTTTATGCAAAAAGACCACAGAGATAAGATTCTGTTTTTATGACAAATTATATCAGAGGTGCATACTACCAATTATTTATTTTCAGAGCTTTCTTTCCCATTGCGGAAAATTTAGAAATGTAACTGACAAAACAGAAAGTTAAATCATTATAGTCTTACCTCATCTCACATGAAGAAACCACTGTTAACATTTTGGTGTATAAAGCCAGGTGTGATGGCATATTCCTGTAATCCCAGCACCCAAGAGGCTAAGGCAGGAGGATCGTTGGGAGTTCGAGGCCAGCCTGGGTTACGAAGTGAGTGCAAGGCCAGCCTCAACTGCATAGTGAGGCCCTGTCTCAAAAAGTCAAAGAAAAAAATTTTGGTATATAATTTCTCCATTGTCTGCTTTGTGCGGTTCTAAAAGTAAATAATAACAAATATACTGTTTTATGATATCTATTAATTTATACAGTGAAATCTTTTCATGCCATTAAATACTGTTAAATTTAATTTTTAATGGCTATATAGAAAATGATGCTTTAGTAATCCAAAGCTTTTTACAAGTAATGCAGTATCGTTATGCTGAGCGTCTGTGTGAGGAGGCTCCAGCCCCCTCTGCTGCTGCCCTAGGAAGGGTGTGCAGGGCTGAGGATGCTGTGGGCGTTGCCTGGCAGCCCTGAAGCCCGCCCTGCTGCCCTGCCTAGCTAGGGCAGCACCCGCTTCTTTGCATGCTGGCCACAGTTTCGCTGTCACTCTTCCAGTATGGAGTTTTGTGTCCTCTTGCTAGAGCTGTCCATCTCCACCTTCATGAACGGAGACTATTTAAAGGGGTGATTTTTTTCTAGTCCTTTTTGTAGTTTTATGCTTAAACCTTTAAAATTGTGAGCTAGAAGACAAAGATAGGAGCATGAACCTACATGTAGAATTTTGTGGGTTATTATAAGGAGAAGACTCCAGGGGTCGCCCCAGGTCAAGAAATGAGCCCCTGCAGTGCCATAGTCCTCTTTGCATTCGTAGTCTGGAGGGTAAGTACTTTGTCAATTTTGGGGCATTCATTTTCTTGCTTTTTCTTATGCTTTTAGTACTCAATTATTCACATCTAGAAATTGTTATGTTTGCCCTAGTATTAAAAGAACTCATAGTATAGCGTGTTATATTTTCTTTCTTTTTTAGGGTCTAGCTTTATTGAATTAAGTTTCACATAGCATAAAAGTCATGCATTTCATGTGTACCATTCAGTGGGGTTTTTTGTATGTTCATGGAACTGTATAACCACCATTACAACTTAAGTTTACAACATTTCAAAATAAAAAATCCCCCAACCCCACTCCTATTGCCTGCCATTCTGTCTGACTTCTTCGTGCCTCGCTGCTGCAGGTGACCCCCAGCCTGCTCCTGTCTGTGGATTTGCCTCCTGTGTGCACTTTGCAGACAGAAGCGCATGTTGCGGCCTTCTGTGGTTGATGTTTACTTTGCTGATGTTCTCAAGGCTTGTCCATGTTGGGTTGTGTGTTAGGACTTGATTACATTTTATAGCCTCATATAGCAGCTCTGTGTTTATCATTTTGCAGAAATCTCCTGTCACTTTATAAAGTGTCTTCACCATTTTACATTCCCATCAGCAGTGTATGAGAGCTCAGATCACTGTGTTTTTGCCAACACTAATTTGGACTCCCAGTGGGTGTGAAATGGTATCTCATTGTTTTGATTTGCTAATGATGTAGTCTTTTAATATCTTTTTGCCATTTATATGTTTTACTTGGAGGTATGCCTATTCAGATTTTTGCCTGCTTTGCAGTTGGGTTGTCTGTTTAGTATTGAAGAATCCTTTTTCCCCCCAGCTTTTCAGTTTTTTATTAGTCCATGGTTACAGTACATAATGGTGTTTTATTAGTCCGTGGTTACGGTACTGTGGGGACTTGGTTATGTGCATAACGCATCTCGGTTCTCATCTGTGTTCCTTTCCCTCCATCTCTCTGTTACACTCTCTCAGTCCCCTTCTCTCAGTCATCTATTCTGAACACAAATCCTTTGTCAGATATGTGATTAGTAAATATTTCCTCCTATTATATGAGTTGTTGGTGTATTTTATTTTTATTTGAAAAAAAACTCCATTTTCCTCATTAGCACCTTTACGTCCCTTCCCTTGTTTTACTTTCTTGATAACAGTCTTTGATCCCTACGACCCCTAATTTTATGAAGTTCCACCTACCTATTTCATTTCTTTTGGTTGCTTGTACTTTTGATACAGATCTATGAAATCATTCCCAAATCCAAGGTCCTAATGATTTATGTCTAGGTTTTATTCTATGAGTTTTATCTCTCACATTAGATTTAGTATCTATTTTGAATTTTTGTATACGGTGTGCGGTATGGATCTAACGCCTTCTGCATGTGGATATCCAGGTGTCCCAGCAGCATTTGTTGAAAAGACAATTTCCTATTAATTGTTTTGGCACTTTGATCGAGAGTCAGTTAACTGTAAGCAAAGGTTTGTTTTCTGGGTTCTCAATCTATTCCATTGATCTGTATGTTTTCTTATGTTAGTACTATACTATCTTGCCATAGCTTTATAGAAAGTGTGAGTCCTCCAAGTTCTTTCTTTTCAAGATTATTTTGGTTTTCTGGATTTCTCTCATTCCTTTGTGAATTTTAATATCAGTTTGCCAGTTTTGCCAAGAAGTGAGCTAGGATTTTACTCAATGTCGTACTGAATTGGGGTATTGCTATGTAATGATACGGTCTTCTGATCCTTGAACATAGAATTTAAAAATTATCTATATCTTTAATGTCTTTCATTAATGTATAATTTATAATAAAAGCAGTCAGACTTCTATTAAATTTATTACTCGGTATTATTTACTTTTTTGAAGTTATTTTTGGTTGGCTTACTAATATTTATGTGACAGTTGAGCTGATTGTTGATCTTGTATTGTATACTGTCACATTGCTGAAGTGGTTTACTAGTTCAAATAATTTTTTAGTGGATTCCTCAGGATTTTTTTGTATTCAAGATTGTGTCATCTGAATAAGAGATAACTTGGTTCCTTTTCACCTGAGTGCCTTTCCTAACAATTCCTCTGGTCAGAATCCTCTTAACATCATGGAAGAGAAGTGCCAAGAGCAGAAATCCTCCCATGGACCTGGATCTTAGCGGGAAAGATGTAGTCGTTGTCTTTCATGGTTCTTCAGAATTAATGTTAATGGTAGTTTTCATCAGTATGAGTGTTCTTTAGATTGGCTTTTTTTCACTCAACATTGTGTTTGTAGCATGTAGCAGTCATTCTTTATTTTTTGCATCTACATGTCTTTTTAAATCAGTATTTCACAATTTTCTATTCAGCACGTAGATTCTTATGTTGCTTCCTGCTGTGATCAGTACTGCCAAGCTACCTTGGCGGGAGGAGGACAGAATAAACGCTTCTGTTCCAGAGGGAGAAGTAGCTGAGTGGAGAGCGGCATGAGCCCAGAGCGGCGTCAGAGCCCCGCTGGGTGCGTGTTAGACCCCGGAGCTTCCCGCTGGCGTCTCACGCACGCTGGGGTGAGGGTCAGCACAGGCATTTGACACCAAATTGCTTTATGTTTCTTCTGCTTGAGACACTTTGGATGTCTAGGTTTTTTGGGAGTTTTGTTTCCATTAAATTAGGAAAATACTGGCCATTAGTTTTTCAAATATTCTTTCTCCTTCCCCTCTCCTTTTCTGGAACTTCATTTACATTTCAGAAAACTCTCTGTACTAGGAATATTTCTGTTTCAGACTGTTTAATCGTGTAGTGTTACTTATATATTTTCATGTTCATTGGTCATTTCATCTTCATATGCTGTTAATTTCATCCAGTACTTTTTTGTTTTTTTTTTTACTTCAGACATTACAACTTCTTGTGTCTCCCTAAATTCAATTTGGGTACTTTTGTCTTTGCTTTTGCTCTTTGGCGGCGGTGCTGGTGGTGGTCTAGGACTCACGCCTAGGGTCTTTGTAGGCTGGATAAGCACCCACCGCTGACTGCAGCCCGGGCCCAGCCCTTGGCCTCTTTTGTCACTTGTGTTTCTCCGCTCATCCTGTGGAACACATTTGATCAGTCTTAGCACGCGTGTTATTGCTGGGTCAGTCTCTCCTGACTGATTTTCCTCGGGGGTCTTGTTCATCATTGTTCTTTCCTGCTGCCTTGCATGCCTGGTGAAATTTGATTGGGTGTTAGACATTTGGGACCGTGTGCTTTGGGTGCTGGATCTTAACTGTTTTTGAAAACATTATTGAGCTTTTTCTATGACACATTTAAGTTACTTGGCATCCACGGGGCCCAAAGCTTTCTGTATAGGCGGCTTTATTAGGTCAGCTTCAGAGCGGCACTAAGTGCTGACGCCGTGTGGCATCGGAGGCTCCCTGCTGTGGCTCATGCTCCTGGCCCTGAGCTTACCCTGCTGTGTTCTCATCACAGCCGTAGCCATGTCAGAGTCCACAGCCAGCCTGAGCTTGAGAGTCATCTTCCCATGAACACGCTCAGTTTTGTGAGTAAGGATGCACCACAGGTGACAGATGCCCCTATGTGTGTGGCTACATTTGAAGCTGTTCTGAAATGTGCACATATAATGTGTAGGCGGCACGTCACGTCATGACGCCGACACAGCCCTCACATGCACAATTTCTCCAGCAGCAGTGTGCAGCACGAAGACCCCAGCAAGGAGCTTTCAACAGATGAGGTCATCCTGAGGCTCAAGGCAGACGTGCGGCGTTTGCTGGACAGCAACTCGGCGAAGCGTCACCTGGTGTCTCGGTTACAGAGTGACCTCAGAGCCTGTCACCAGAAAATTGAGGATCTCCAGCAAGCAAAGGATGGCGGGAGCCTGGAGGCTGAGGTAGGCATCGCTGTAGGGTGAAAAAGCCACTTTAAGAAGGTGCAGTAAAGAAATTTTATACTCCATGTGTTGGCGTTAAAGCTTTGGTTGTCAAGGGTTCATCTGACTCCTTCAGACTTAAAGTAAGGGAAGAAATGCTGCTTAACAGAATATGTTGTCTGTGTACTCCCAGGACCTAGTAATGAGATGTTGGTTAAGTGAAGTTCCTTTACCACAGGGACCAGGAAGCATGTTGTATGACGCCGTTTTGGTGTTGCTTCAGGGTTGACTTACACCAGCGATACTTTAAAACCTTTGGAAAAGGAACGCTAGGCAAGGAAATCCTATCGAACTTGGTCTGTGAGACTTCGTGGCCTGTGTTCTTACAACAAAACTTGCTGTGCACGAGGATATTGATGCTACGGTCTTGGCGCAGCAGGTGGGAGAGGCCGAGAGGGAGGTCACGTCCGCTTTTAGGAGCTTACTGGATAGTTGAGGGGAGCGAAGCTGGGGCATTTGGGATCCTTCCGAGTCACAGAGTGAATCTGGGCAAATCCGAGCTGAAACCGGACATGGTTCTTTCCCGAAGGCCATGCGGTCAGAGCTCTTCCTTTACCAGTGCCTTTTCTGCCTTTCCTTGTGTTCAAATTCTCACTGTTGGGGGACAACCTGCTTGGGCCCGCCCCCTCCTGTCCCTCTCTCAGAAAGGAGCTTTCTTTCCCTCAATAAATATATTCTGCTCATAAAAAAAAAATTCTCACTGTCTATACGCTCAAGAGAAAACACATAAAGACCGTGTCATTGAGCAAGGGAAAAGGAGAGGGGAAAGCAGGTGGTTTTTAGGGTTAGCGCATGAAGTATCCCCCGAAGACCTCGTATAGAGGGCCTGGCCCGATGCCGCAGTGTGGAGGGCTGGGCCTAGGGTGGTAGCTGGACCCGAGGATGCTGACCCTGCCTGAGCGTTCAGAGCCAAGTGGGCTGTTAGAAGCAGGCCCAGGCGGAGTCCTGGCGAGTGCACTGCAGGGCATGCCTTGCCCAGCCCCTTCCTCCTGGCTCCCCTGCTCCTGAGCTGCGTCCTGGCTACCAGGAGGTGAGGCACTCTCCTTTGCCACGAGGTCTCTGCCTTGGACCCAGCTGGGCGTGGACTGAAAGCTGGGGAGCCGCAGGCCAGCCTGAGCCTCTCACCCTGTGAGCAGGTGTGGCGGGTGTTGTGCCCCGGCAATGGCAGGGAGCTGCTAGTACGGCAGTGGACCCCTTTTCATCCTGGAGGGAAGTAATTTTTTGCTTTGCACTTTAGCACTGTTTTGTTTCCTGGTCCTTTAAGCTAGGAGTTGTATTCATTAAAAATTCCTAAGTCGGAGGATGTAAAGTGTTCTGCGGTGTTAATTATTAGGGAATTTTAAGTGTAGCTAATTTCTTTTCCAGAAATAATAGTGTATCTTTACTGTCAAAATCCTGCCCCATCCGTTTTCCTGTTCTCAGTAAATGTGTTTGATAATTTTAACATTGTTTTTAATGTTAACAGAGGAAAACCCCCAGCACATTTAGCATCTTTAAATCAGTATATTTTAACTGTGGCCATGTGCTTCTCTTTAAAGGGGAGGGAATGAGAGTGTGGGTCTCATTTTGTGGGCAGAGCGCGATTTGACGGGAGTGAGCCCCCAGGTGAGCGCACCCTCTGTGCGAGCGGATGGCTTCGGGAGCCCCTTCAATCTCCGAAGTTGGGCCTGCGGTAGCTTGGGGCAGCTCACTCAGCCCGGCGCATGCTTTTTGTCCTGGTGCTCTTCTGCCACGGTGGTTTCTCCGCAGCCCACATCGAAGCTCTGATGTTTTCTCTCTGAAGCCCTTTTTCTCCTTGTGTCTGTTCTGCCCCAGCGTGTGGCGATCTCCTCGGGATGTTGCACTTGAGCGCTGCAGATTTGCTCCTGGTTGTTGAGTGCATGCACATACTGACTCACTGTCTTAATACACCTAATCTAGCAAACTCTGTAGCTTAGCCTCACCTACTTTGAAGTGCCTGGAACACTCTGGTTGGGGACAGCTATGTGACACACAGCCAGGTTTATGGTCAGGTGTCCCACACCTCACTGCGTGCAGCCCACTGGTGAGTGCTGGTTCCCCCGCGGACGCAGGACAGGCTGGGCTGCACCTTCTCGCTGCTGCTCAGCGTTGGGAGAGTGCGTTGTGCTGCCCACCACTGCCTGGAGCAAGGGCGAGTTCACAACGCCCTGAAGCTGAGCCATCATGTGGCGAGGGCCATCTGCTTGTGCAAAAGGTTATTCACGTCCTTACCTTGTGTAATCAGTGTAAGAATTAGGAATGAGCTGGTTCTCCTTTGTGCATGTGTGCTAGGTGACCTGCAGTGTGCCATGCACCCTACAGCACATCCTAGCTCGTGTGTGCAGCGGTACAAGGGTCGGGAAGTGCTCACGTTTAGTGTTACAGATCGAGACGGAAATGGCAGCTATAACCTTGGGTAGGAAGGATGCTCACGGCTGAGCAAAATGCTATAAGAAGGAATCACTAGGCCTGGGGGTGAGGCAGGGTGAGAAGATGGTCGTAGGGAAGTCTGGTGGGTGGAACATCCGATGTTAGTCCTCAGAGACAAAGATAGGCAGGACAGTGGGAAGGGCTGGCAGGCCTCAAGTGGTGCTGTGTAGAAGGCACTGCATGTGAGTTGCTGGGGCCAGCGGCTGGGGCCCGTGAACACAAGCATGTGTCACACAGGCGCTGCCTTTCTGAAGTCCTTATCAAGGCTAAAAAGATTTAAGCATCTCGTATATTCTCACAGAGAATGATGACAGAGGCCGGCGGATCCTGGGGTTAATGAAGTGATGGAGAACCTCTCTGCATTCTGCAGGGAATCCATTTAAAATGCCTGCATATCTTTTTTTTTTTTTTTTTTTTTTTTTTGCAGAACTGGGGATTGAACTCAGGCCCTTGTGCTTGCTGGGCAAGTGCTTATTCTCCTGAGCCATCTCCCTGTACACCCCCCGCCCCCCTCCCCCGTATGTCTTTTTAAAGATAATTAGGTATCGGTTTCTCACTCCGGTATTTCTAAGTACGAGTACATCTTGAGAAGGCCAGCAGAACTGTTTACTGTGTGGACATTTGGCATGTGTTTTGTGTGAACATTTTAATCATAAGTTATATTTACTGCTTCATACATGCTTTGGAATACATTTTATATCCGTTTTTATCCACCTTAACCTATAGTTATGTAGAGTTATTGCAGAGGGTTATAGTTTTTGCTTTCGTGTCATGATTTCATAGCAATGGTTTGTTTCAAGCTGAATTCTTATGTGAATTAATAAAATTGTTTCTGTGTGAAGCCTGGATGTGCTGTTCTGTGCTATTCCAGGCTTATATGGGAGGTAAGTTAGAAGACTATCCATACATAGCACTGGGCAGTGAGGAGGAACAGATCAGACCTTAGGCCGCTGGTGACAGACTGTGGCGCAGTCCTTGGGAGAGCCAGTCTGGCTTAGTGACAGTTGGGGCCATGGCTATACTGAGTTTCTTGTGAACATGGTAAGCAAAGCAGAGGCTTTTGTGTCTGATCCTCGGTGAACAGCTTCATCCTGGTCTGTGACTCCAGAAGTAGTCGATAGGCCGTGGTCAGTGAGCCGCTCTGCCACTTCCAGTGCGAGTCCCCCAGACTTGGAGTTGGTGTGTGAGATTCCTTGATGTCGTGAAGACACTGTGTTCCAGATTCTACTTTTGGGAAGGCATCCAAGCACCCGTTATCTTGACAGCTGCAACGGCCTGGCCTTGTGCCCCCACAGGGTGGTGCTCTGGCAAAGCTGGGTAAACAGAAAAGAGCTTTTCCTTCTGGATGGTTAACAACCTAAGTTTGCAGACCAAAATTAGAGAAAAAGGAGGGCTACAAGGAAAGCCAACATTTTGGCCCTAGCCTTCTAAGGTC